CTCTCACTAGTAATCAGTAAAATGCATATTAAAACCCAAAGGGATTAAAATGGCTGAAGTTAAAAGGACCCATGTATAAGAGTTTGAAGCAACCATAACTCCCTCATACATTGCCAGTGATAATGAAAAATGACACAACTACTATGGAAAACAGCTCTCTATATTTGATGCATTTTGCTAATTGTATATAATCACACAACCAACACCAAAATCAAGATACAGAGCTGTTTTCCAATATACCTAACAGGGGTACTTTTATTTTAAGTAAATTATACCTCAATAAAACTGAAAAAGTAAATCCTTCCATACTGTAGCTCTACAACAATCATGAATTATTTAATAATTGCCTTGTTTGTGTTCAAGACTGCAGACAAGGATAAAACGCTGGCTTTTCTCTCAATGAACTTCAACACATGTCTGAGACATCAAAATGAAAAATATAAATGTAAGACAGTATATACTTAGGATCCAAGTTGCCCTGGATGCTGTGATTTGAGATAGAAGCTTGGAGATTAGAGAGATTGGGCTAGATATTTTAATAAAAATGAAGCTGAGGATTAAATGAGGGATATTTAACCTTGATAGACTGATCAAAGGCAAAGATGGAAAGAATTTCATATATATAAAGAGGGAAGAAAGAAGTATACAACTGGTAATATTTAAAGCTGGAATAATAACCACAATCACCAAATGTGTAATAGAGTGAAGAGGGAACTGAAAATATACTAATATCCCCTTTACCCCTAGTGGGGAGTACATAGATATTATCTAAAGAAATCAATGATCAAGACTATAAAGGTTATGAATACAAAGGCAACCAAAAGAAGGGAAAAAATAAAAACTTTCCAAATTTTCAGAAGGAAAGACATATAACAAAACAAAAAAATCCAAAGATCCTATAAAGATATAAAGAGGTAAAATTTATAATAGAATACATAAAATTAAATAAACCAATATGAATCATATTGTTCATATCAGTAAGTACAATTATAATAAACATAACGATTAAAAGAAAAGGCATATATGGCAAATTCTCAGGCCTCACACCAGACCTCCTGAATCAGTAAATTTGAGGATGGGACCCAAGTAGTCTGTATTTAACATGATTTTGATGCATGCTTAAGTTTAGCAACTACTGATATAGCAAAACCCACCTAAACTCTATATACGAGGGCTGTCTGGAAAGTATCCAGACAGAAAGTAACCATTCTCATTATATTAACATGGCTAGATACTTTCTGGACAGCCCTGTATACAAGATAGGCATCTAAAACAATATGTATCAGAAATGCTGAAAATAAACAAAATACAGAATAAAGAAGATAATCTATAAAAACTAGAGAAATCCAAGGTACAACGACACATTAGTAAGTGAGAAGACAACACTTTCTTCACCTATGAAATCAAATCCATAAGATAGAATATACTTGAAAATACATAAAAGAACAATACATACCAATTTATAACATAGTTCATTAATCAGTTTATTCTGTATCTTGAAAATAGATAATTAACTACCTTTTTATTTATTTATTTATTTATTTATTTATTTAGATAGATAGATAGATAGATAGATAGATAGATAGATAGAGTCGATAGATAGATAGATAGATAGATAGATAGATAGATAGATAGATAGATAGATAGAGTCTCGCTTTGTTGCCAAGGCTAGAGTGAGTGCTGTGGTGTCACCCTAGCTCACAGCAACCTCAGACTCCTGGGCTCAAGCAATCCTGCTGCCTCAGCCTCCCGAGTAGCTGGGACTACAGGCATGCGCCACCATGCCTGGCTAATTTTTTCTATATATATTAGTTGGCCAATTAATTTCTTTCTATTTATAGTAGAGACGGGGTCTCGCTCTTGCTCGGGCTGGTTTCGAACTCCTGACCTTAAGCAATCCGGCCACCTCCGCCTCCCAGAGTGCTAGGATTAAAGGCATGAGCCACCGCACCTGGCCTCACTACCTTTTTAAATGTTAAAATAACATTCTCAAAATCAGCTAATATAGTAGACCTGTTCCACAAAGTCGAAAAAGACAAAATATTATGACCAAAATAAAAGAAACCCAGAAATTACAAAACAAAATTAAAATCCTTTCCATTGTGAATTTCAAAATCTACTGGTCTAAACAAATCCTTTGGCCAAAGAGAAAATTAAAACAAATCGCAAAATATTCAGAAATATAATTCAGGAAAACAAAGTATATCAGAACCTATGGAACATATTTGAAAAAATGCTTGGAGAAAGAAATTTTAGCATAAATGTTTACATCATTTAAATAAGAATTAATAATAAACTAAGTACTCTAAGTAATTAAAATAAGGAAAAGTAAACAATAAGAACAGATAACTGGTAAAAATAAAAAAAGAAATTAATTTATCACAGAAAAAGAAAAATATAAATTCATGAGTTGATTTTTAAGGAAAAAAGTTAAGTAGGAATAAAGCAAAAAAAAAAAAATTATTTGTAATTAACCATAGATAGAAAATGAGTGTAGGGAATATGCTACTCAATCCATGCAAATAAATATGAAAACCTAGCAAATAACCTATGAAAATTGAAACCAGAAAAGAAAAAAAACTGAAATAGGAAAACAGAAAAATAAACATAGAAAAAAAATGGAGACAACTGTTAAGGTATTTCATTACCCTTAAGCCCAAGACATAAATGGCTTAACAGGTAAAATTTAATAAACTTTTAATAGATAATAGTATTACTATTTATTTTAAAATATCCAATTATTGTTTAAATTCACTAAACTTGGGAAAGTATGATGCACAACAGATCGATTTAAGCTACTATAATCCTAATAAGCCACAAGAAAGCAAAAAGTTACATCTCCTTTATAATTAAATCCCCTCATATTTTCATAGGTATTATATCAACATCCTTAACACATACTTATCAGAATTGAGTTTTTCATACTGTAAATGACAGTGCTGGGCAACATCATCTGAATACCAGGTAAAATGGTTCCTCCAACAACATTTACCTCATGGTTTAAAAAATATTTTCAAAATATAAATCAAAATACTCTAATGTCAAGGAAATCTTAACCGTTTTATTTGTAAACAGTGACCTGTCAGAACAAGGGTTGGCAAACTACATGCCATATCTGTTTTGTGAACAGTTTTACTGGAACATAGTCATGTTCATTTATTTTCTCATCCATTCACTTTCTTGTCTATGACACTTTCACACTACAGTGCTTGAGTTGAGTAGTTTTAACAGAGATCCTATAGCCTATGACAACAACTCAAATATTTACTATCTGGAATTTGAATCCTTAAAGGACAAAGACCAAAGTAACCATGCAAATCTGGACTACTCATCACATGACTGTTATATGAGCAAGAGGTTTAACAAACCTCCAAATGTACTCAGCACATTAAACCAGTACATTTGGAGGTTTGTTGTATCACTTAGCTTTACCATGATTAGTACATTTCTTAGTCCTATCTCGCTGCTTTACATTCCATGTATCTAAGATGTCTGACAAATGTTCATCACCAGCTTGGACCTCTCTCCTCAATAACTGATTCTCATATCCTACTGACTACTCAACATCTCCACTTGGATGTCTAATAGGGATCAAATTCATCCTGCCCCAGTCCAAACTCTAGCTCTAGCTTCCAAACCAATTCCTCTCACATTCTTCTCATCTCTTTAAATAGTAACCTCATTGTCCCAGTTGCTCAAGCAACACTTCTATTTCTCTCAGATCACATGCCCATTATATCTTCATATGCTATTGGCTTTATCTTCAAATATGCCCAGAATCTGGCTATTTCTCACAATCCTCTTTGGGACCACTCAGGTCTAAGCCACATCCTGCCTTGCCTGGATTATTTAATAGATTCCTCACTGGTCTTGCCACTTTTGCTTTTATCTCTTTACATTTCTCGACATAGAAGCCACAATAATCTTGTCAAAATGAAATCATGTCACTGCTCTATCTGAAAGCCTTTTTATATACTCATAAAAACATTTAGAAGTACACAAAAGAAACTGTTAATAGTGGCTGCTTCTGGGGACCAAAAATAGAGAACTCAGAGTCAGGAATGAGGAGACATACCCTATTTGTTTTAATTTTCTATCCAGTACATACATTAAATTATAAGCATAATAATATTATTTATTTTTAAAAGTAACTAGGGAAGTGAGCTAGTGGGAAGTCAGTACTAATCCCCAAGCTTGCAATATTGTTAAAAAGCAGGAGGTGAGGAAGGGTTGAACTATGATGGCTGAAGGTAAGACAATAGGAAATAAGACTAAGGGGGTAAAATTCAACTCTGAGGTATACAACAACAATGGAGGGAGAGAGAAATGATTGAAAACTAAATTTTAAAGAAGAGAATCTACATGCTAGTTTTTGAAAGATTACATTTTTGATACATAATAGAAAGATTATATCTTAGATACATAGATTATATGTTAACAAAAATAATTTACATGCTGGTTTTTGAAAGGTCACAGATCTGTGAAGGCCTGATGCTTAAGAAAATGAGTCTAGGCATACAGAAAGAAGAGAAAAATAGAGAATGTTAGTAAAAGAGAGAACAAACATGAAAGTAAAGCTGTAAAAATCATAAAATTGAGGCTGCAAATGAGGTAGACAGCCTGGCACCCAGAATAAAGGTGGGAGAAGCAACCAGTCCTCTAGAATCTGAGAAAATGAAAACATAGAATCAGGAAGAATATCTGGAAATGTCATCATTTAAGTATCTAAAGAATTACCAGCAACATTACTCCAAAAGACAAGGGCTAAGTAAGCAAAAAATCAAGAAAGAAAGAAAGAAAGAAAGAGAGAGAGAGAGAGAGAGAAGAGAGAGAAGAGAGAGAGAGAGAGAGAGAGAGAGAGAGAGAAAGAAGAAAGAAAGAGAAAGAAAGAAAGAAAGAAAGAAAGAAGAAAGAAAAAAGAAAATTCAGAGGTTGCAAACTCTTAATAACTACCATAAGCCTTTATATCATTCATAGCTGCCAGGTTCTCACTTACTCACCTAGAGAGAACCTTCTTTTACATTTCTTCCTCAATCATCCATTGCTCTTCTTGTTTGAACTGGTGACTTTAAGCTTGTAAATGAAAAAGTGACACAGGACTTCGACATGACATTACGGTTGGGGGTCAAAGCAGCATTCCAGAATTCAAGCTGAGCCCTCAGGACTCTAAGAGCTGTTGAGGGGTAAGGAAAGTGCAGCTCCTGGCAATGCACAAGGAAGCTGGCCTGTGAAAAAGAAGTAGTGATGACCCTCTGGCTTATACATACATGTCAGCAAATAGAAAAAGAATATTCATACTTAGCATTTCAGGCTAAACCCATTTACAAGCTCTACACATTTCAGAAATGGGAAACAGAAGGTACCTTATTTTCAGAATTTAGGTTACACAGAGAAGCTATGACACTAAGTTGCCAGCGTTCTCCAGAATCACAATCTGTACAGGTTCCTTTGAACAAGTGTCCCTTGTGTTCTTGCTCCTGATTGAAGTCACATTTTTAAATATCATTTTTCCCCATAACAACACTTTTCTATAAATGTAAAGTAACTGATCTTGAATGATATGGACAAAACATATAGGAAATTATTCTGATAGTATTTATAAGTCAGAATGCTTAAAAATTTTAGAAGACTAATATATCTTACTTACATTATGTTACTCTAGGAGAAATTAAATATAGTAGTGTCCTACGATTATAGTCTTCCCTTAGTATCCACAGGGGATTGGTTCTAGGACACCTGCAGATACCAAAATCCACAGGTGCTCAAGTCCCATATATATAATAGCATAGTATTTGCATATAACCTATGCACATCCTCCTCTATCCTTTAAATCACTCCTAGCTACTTATAATACCTAATGTCATGTAAATACTAGGTAAATAGCTGATATAGTGTATTGTTTAGGGAATAATGACAACAAGAAAAGTGTGTACATGTTCAATACAGATGTAACTATTTCAGGCCTAAAAACAATTTTAGTCCACAGTTGTTGAATTCATGGATGCAAAATCCACAGATACGAAGGAAGTGCTAACTGTATGCTTATTTATTGATTCAGCAAATATATATATTTATCATTTATTGTGTGTAATGAAGAAACCTTGGTTTCCAATTTGTAATGGAGTATGACAGATGAAAGGGTCAACCTTACTCAGAAGCTCTTCTCTTACTAAAATGTAAGAGCCTTAGAACCTGGCTAGACAGTGCTATGAAGTGCTGAAACAAGTTATACAGAAGGGCAAATGGATGGAGGCAGATGTTAGGAAGGAGCTATCAGTATGACACTTTGGACATAAAGAGCTTGAAGTTCCCAAGTAACCTACAGACAGACTGTCCATTAGGCAGCTGAATATAAGATCAAGAGTTCAGGATAAGCCTCCAATAGAAATAGCCATTTATTAATCATATGTGTCAGATGAAGCCATGCCAGTGGAATGTTATTTCCCATAGAATACTTAGAGATGAAAAGACATTCAAGGCCAGCTTAGAAACACCAATAGCTAAGGAACAAGGAGAAACATTAAGTCCTGTCTTCCTTATAACTTTTAACAGGTTTTTTGTATATATCAAAACCATATATTTATGACATATATTGTACCCTGATTCTTTAATTTTTCATTTTATTGAAAAATATGTTAAGAGTAAGTGTGACACAATACTTGAAGAAAGTGTCTTTATAGATGGAAGAAAATTTGTTTCACTACATTTACAAAGGCCATTTGGGCTGGGGAACAGCCCGTCAAATTAGTAGTCAGACTGCTGTTCTCAGTGATGAACCAGGGAGTTTCTTGCGCCAAAGGCAAGACAATTAGCTTTCCTTTTCTGTGCTTTCCGCATTAGTGGAAACTACCTGTTAGAGCTATTTTCCTTAGTTCAGGGCTTTACAAAACAGCCCCACCAAAGTTTCTCCAAAATATTAAGAAAACTCAATACTTACTGGGACTACAGGCACCCAGTAACAAGTTTTTCGGAAATCTTTCCTCTGAAACAAAAACAAAAAAACATACAAAAAGAATGCTGATTTTGTTTTGTACTCCACAATAGGTTTGCTTTTATATAAAAATCTCTTTTAATTCGCTAAATTCCTTAGCCTTTTCCCTTTCTTATTTTCCAGAAAAACACATCCTTATAATCGATTATTTCAGAAATGAGGAAAGTGAGGCTTAGAGTTTACTCCTCACGAAGCCACCCATCTGTCTTCACAAACTTAGAAGCAGTTTCTCACTAACTCTACAATCCCAAACACCCCTCAACCTCGGCGACCCACCCGCGAGCCCACCCGTGTCCTACCTGCCCCTGCTGCCATCCACACGAGCTCTAGACGCCGCACGTCACAAGAGGCGATTCATCCCCTTCAGCCTCCCCAGCCCCGGCGCAGGCACCACGAATGCTCTCTCTCAGACCCCCGGGCGGGGTTCGGGCCCACAAACCGAAGTCCCTCACCGCCGAAACCAAACTCACCAGCAGACAAAGACGACCATGGCGAGCCAGAGAGTCTGCGCCTGCGCACTCCTTCGGCGGGCGAGCACTTCCACAGGTCCCCAGAGCTCTGCCAGGTCCGGGATCAGAACTGGAGGGGACCAGCCGATCTCGGCCCGTCCCCCACGCCACTCATTGACTGTGGACTACACTTCCCAGAAGAGTCAGGGTTCTAGTCAGCTTTCCGCGCGAACCTCCTTTCCTCCGCCAGAGGCCGTGGGGCCGTCTTCCTGGCGGGGGCGACAGTATAAGTAGGCCGAGTCTCAAGACTTAGTTATGATAACATTGTACTTGTGTCTACGCTGCCTCTAGGAGAGGGCAGCGGTGTGCCAGAGTACAAGATCAGCTCAAACACGCTGGGCTGGCTTCCTGTAGGAGCCACGGTGCCATGCTAGGCCAGGACCCCCGGACGACTCCCAGGCGCGGTTCGAGGATCGCGGGCAATCGGCTTGGCCCGGCTCGGGCCAGGCGCCATCTTGTCCGTGGCGGGTGTGGATCCGAACTACATTTCCCACAAGGCGCCGCGTCCCCCGGCTCCTCAAAGACCGCGAGGCTGGCGGCTCTGTGGAGCGCCGCGCTGGTTCCCAAACGGTTTGGCAGGGCGAGCGCATGCTGACGCGATCCGGGGGAGGCAGGAGGTGAGGAGTCTAGAACCCTCCCCGGGGCGGGGATTGAGACTGAGTGTGTTGAGGCGTAACGGGCTGAGGAAGGGCGGTTGGGCAATTGTGTTCGTGTGGCTGTATGTCCTAGCGTTGTGTGTGTGAGATTGTGACTGTGTGTGACACCTTGTGTGCGGATGTGGGGAGTATTATGCAGCTGTCCTGTGAGTCCTTGTGTTATGATTGTTAATTGGTGAAGGAGTGTAACGCTGTGTGTGCGGGTGTGACTGTATCCCTGTGGTGGATGTGTGCTTATGACTGTGTGTGACCATGTCTCTCTCTGTGTGCAGCTATAGGAGTTTTGTGACTGTGCGGCTGTTACTCTGTCCCCGTGGGCATTGTGACTGTGCAGCACTGTGTGGGGCGTGGAAGGGGGGGTACTTGTCAATATTAGATGTGTCACTGCAGCACTGTGTGTGCGTGGATTTGAGGAGACCGTGACTGTGTCTGTGACTGTATGTCATACATAGTCATCTGGGGAGCACAAGACAGGTCGGCACCTTGACAGTAAAGGAGCACTTTTCTGTGACACTGAGATTGACATGGAAGGGCCAGTCTCCTCTGATATAACCCAACCATGGTAGGGGAGAGGCAGAGTAACATTTGGCCCCCAGAGGAGGCGTATTGTCTCCCATTTCTGTCCTCCAAGAGAGATCCCAAGAGAAGGAGGAACTTGTCACATCTAAAAGCCATGTTTAAGGTGCCTTGGGATTTTTATCTTTGTTCCTTAAATGGTTTATTTTTTCAGGATACGATTTTTTTTCTCTCTTGGCAAATGCCCAGAAAGATCTATCAAGTAACCTGGAATCTACTGTTTCTCTTTGGAAATAACCTTCCTTTCTGCTTTCCCCAATTTTCTCTTATTAATGTGGCAAATAGTTCAGTCTATCTTGTGTGCTGAGTATTTGGGTTTTACATATATACATATGTATGCATACATACATGCATGCTTGTATATGTCATATGTCTTCATTTAAGTGATAGTTTAACTTCCAACAAAATTGAAAGTTCCTTAGAATATTTCAAATATTAGCTACTGTTAACTGTTTTGCAATCTGTGGCTAACCCGATATCCGGGACAACAGAGTGAGACTCTGTCTCAAAAAAAAAAAAAAAAAAAAGGGGATTATGATATTCAAGTAAGAGATAATGGTGGCCTGGATGAGTATGTTGGTAGTAGGTATGGAGAGACATAGATGGTTTTTATTAAGGGGGAAATGTTAGAAGTTGCTGAAGGATTGAATGTAGTAAGAGAAAGGAGAATGAAAAATGACACAGGTTTCTGAGTTGAGTAATTCTGTTGGTCAGAGTCGATGCACAGGCAAAGCCAAAGAAAAATGCAAATTGTACCTGCTAGGGCCACTTTCCCCAGAAGAGGACTGTTGGCATGGCAGACATCTATGGTGTGTGTCCTAAAGTAGGTAGATAAAATAACTTATCATTATGATCCAGTTTTGAGTTTGAGCTTTTCTAATGATTATCACATGAGCTATCCTTTCATGTTAAGACTGTTATATGTAAAAATTAAAGGTTACAGGGGTAGGTAACAGACTAGTGGTAATATTTAAATCATCTGGGTATTTGCTGGAGTTTCTCAAAAGTGAAACTGGGGTGAGAATCCATTCTCCCAGTGCCATTGAGTCTACAGCCTTAACATTTGAATTTCTTTAGACAAGGTTTGTGGTCTTCCCAGTCCTTTATATCCCAAAGTTTATAATGAGAGGCTCTGACTTGCCTCTCGCTTTTTTGCTGCACTATATTGATCCCACCCTGAAATTCAGTCTCTCTTCAATGGGGATTGTTACCTGTTCTTACTTACTGGGAGTAATTGTAGGAATGCACTGACAGAAACTACAGAAGAAAATAAATTACAAGTTTTTGACTCTTAAAAGCCAGTTCAATTCTTAATAGGAAAATATTAGAAACATTTCCATTAAATAAGGAAAGAGATAAGAATATCATCACCATTAATTACTATTTAACCTTATTTTTTGAAGGTGCTTGCTAGAGCCATTAAACAAACAAACAAAAACCTTAGAGGGGAAAAAAAAAGTTCTGAAAAGAGGAAGTAACATTGACATTAAATACATGATTCCATAGGAAATATGCAGGGAAGATAAATGTTTATATATAATTACCCTCTGAACCTGAACTTGAGTTAAACAGACTCATTTATCACTAATCCATGCAAGAACTCTGTTGATCTGTTTTCAACTTCATACCCTGCTCCCATTCTCCATCCATTGTAGATACTCATTCAAAATGATTAATTTTATCTTTATACGTGAATATGTTCTTATAAAGTCATATATTTTACACGTATACACTTTTTATCAACATAAATAAGTCTCCTGTTCCTTCTTACTTTTTCACTAAGCACAATGTTTTCACAATCCATCTGTTACTGTGTAAACATTTATGTCAGGGCATTAACCATATTTTACCTACCTACTCTTCCAAGCAATGGACACTTATATTACCACCACAAGAAATGCTGAAATGAAACATCTTTATACAATTCCTTTATGGACCACTTTGAGAATTTCTTGGGCTATAGAATTTCTGGGTCATAGGATTTGAGTTTCTCTCAAATTGGTTATACAAGTCCACACTTCCACCAGTATTGTGTGAGTGTGGAGTTTTATTTCCCTATCCCTACATCTGCATGAACACAGCACTATGTAGCCTTCTCATAGTTACCAGTCTAAAAGGCATAAAGTATTATTTCTTTGTAATGTTAATTTGCATTTCTCTGATTGCCAGTGATTTTGAGTATCTCTTAATGCTTATTAGCTTTTTGAACTTATTTGTAAATTGCTTGTTTGTACTTTGTGTTCATATTTCAATTGGCATTGCGTTTTCTTGTTAATTTACAAATGTTTCTTATGTTTTCTAGATATGAACTCCCCGACAGTTTTATACTCTGCAGGTATCCTCTTCTGTATTTTATTATATTTTTATTAAACAGAAATATTTTATTTTAATATCACAGTTATCTATTTTTTCCTTGATACTCACACTATTGTTATTTAAGAAATCTTTTTCTGCTCTAAGGTTACAAAGAAATTCTCCTACATTTTTGTCTATTAACTTTGTAGCTTTACCTTGCACATTTAGGTCTTTCAATCATTCCAGACTCCAATTTTGTATTTTTAAAAAAGTATTCTTACTGGGCATGATGGCTCATGCCTGTAGTTCCAGCATTTTGGGAGCTGAGGCAGGAGAATAACTTGAGCCCAGGAGTTCAAGACCAGCCTGGGCAATATAGTGAGACTTCATCTTGAGAGAGAGAGAGAAAGACAGACAGACTTGCTTAACTGGTATTGTTGTAGTCAGTATTCGGTTTTTCCTGCCTTTGTGGGTATTCAAAGCTGACCCTTTTTCTTATTGTCAGGTGCTTTTCTGAGTTTCTGAGCAAATAACTTGCTAGAGATCGTCAAGTGCAAGGGAAGCTATGATGCTGGAACATCCTTTTTACAGAAGCCACTTAAACTCCTTACATTGCCCCAAGGCATATAGTGGTCAGCCTTGTCTCATATTGACCCTCCAGAAATTCTCTGGAACAGGATCCAAAATTGCCTGGGGCCAGTTCACTCATGTGGTCCACATCGAGGCACTAGTTGGAAATGAGGAACCCATCTGTGTTTCCCCCAAATACCAGGGAAAACAGGAAAGTTCTCCTAAGAGCTCTTTTATCACATTCAACTTCAGATCTTAGAGGCATTGAGATCTATAGGGTCAACTTCTTTCATTTGAGGAGAGGAGGAAACAACCACCTCCTTTCCTCAGGAGCTAAGAATGTATAGCTCACAAACAGCTCTTTCCAAACATAGTCCTGCCCCACAGAAAGTCCTCTTCCTCAGCCTCTCCAATCTCTCAAATACCCATTAGGTATATTGAACTGAGGGTAGCAAAATTTTTTTATAGCCAGTTCCTAGTTTTCAAATCTTGTATAGGTATTCAGAACCTCATTTTGAAATGTAGGGTACTTGGCACCTATTTGTTTTTTTCTCCTTTGAGACCTCAGAAGAAACTGCTACAGGCAGCTCTATTTCAGCAACCAATTTATAAACTGAAAGCAATTTTAAACAATAAGAGACTTCAAGGAGGTAGCTGGATATAAAACAACACACCAAAATAATACATATAATATACACTATATGCATATATGAAAACATCAAATGGAAGATTTAATAGAACTTTTAAAAGTTTTAAAAGTATAGCAGTGATATACATAGAAATATAAGTTCCTAAGGAATAAAATTAGCAAGCATTGGCATAACCATATGAAGAGAACTTGAATATAGAGGGACTAATCAGAAAACAAATAAGGAAAAGCCTATGCTTTTCCTCAAACTCCTAAAGATTTAAAAACTTAATTTATAAAAATTTAATGTGATACCAATGTGATAATTATTTTATTAAAGACAAGTTGATTCTAAAGTTTGAATGGAAAAGTCAATATGGCAGAATAGCCAGGAAAATTCTAAAGAATAACTCAGGCCACTTACTCTACCATATGTTTAAATATAAAATAATCTTAAAATAGCATGACACTGGCATATGAGTAGATGGATCAGTGGAGGTGAATAAATATTTTCATTCTAATTGTGAATGGAAATGTTTTAATTTCATTTTCATAATCTGCATAGAGGAATACAATTGATATTTGTTTATTGATCTTGTATTTTGTGACCTTGCTAAACCTACTAATTAGTTCTAGCAAGTTTTTGCAGATCTGTTATTTTTTTTTTCTTTGATCTCTGTATTTTTTGCACCAGTGATTGGCAAACTGTTTCTTGAAGGATCAGATAGTAAATAATTCAGGACTGTGGCCATCTGGTCTTTGATAACAACTAATCAACTACTATTATAGTTTGAAAGCAAGCCATAGACAATAATACATAAATGAATGGGCAGGGCTGTGTTCTAGCAGCATTTTATTTACAAAACTAGGTGGCTGACCCACAGGCTGTAGTTTTGGTAATTTCTGTTGTATATATGATCATATAATTTGCAAATAAACACCAATTCCTTTTTTTCTTTCTTATTGTACTCCTTTAATTTTCTCTTGCCTTTCTACATTGACTAGAAAACCCTGTACAATGTTGAATAGAAATGGTGAGAGCAGGGCCAGGTGGCTCACGCCTGTAATCCTAGCACTCTGGGAGGCTGAGGCAGGCGGATTGCTCAAGGTCAGGAGTTCAAAACCACCCTGAGCAAGAGCGAGACCCCGTCTCTACTATAAATAGAAAGAAATTAATTGGCCAACTAATATATATAGAAAAAATTAGCCGGGCATGGTGGCACATGCCTGTAGTCCCAGCTACTGGGGAGGCTGAGGTAGTAGGATCACTTGACCCCAGGAGTCTGAGGTTGCTGTGAGCTAGGCTGATGCCATGGCACTCACTCAAGCCTGGGCAACAAAGGGAGACTCTGTCTCAAAAAAAAAAAAAAAAGAAAAGAAAAGAAAAAGAAATGGTGAGAGCAGATAACCATGCCTTGTTCCCTATCTTAGGGGGAAAAGCAGTTTGTCACTGTTAAGAATAGGTGAACTGTAGGTTTTTCCTAAATGTCCCTGATCAGGTTGAGAAAGTTCTCTTCTAATCCTACTTTGCTGAGTTTTTATTTTGAAATCATCCTTTGAGATCATGAGGTTTTTGTTCTTTATTAATAAAATGCATTATATTAATTAAATTTTAGATGTTAAGTCAATCTTGCAATTCTGGTATAAATCTCATTTGGTCATGGTGTATAATCCTTTTTGTATGTTGCAGAATTGTTTACTAATTTTTTTTTTACCTTATGTTCATGGTATTTTATAGTTTTCTTTCCTTACGATATCTTTGTCTAGCACTAGAATCTCAGGGTAAAACTGGCCTCATAGAATGAATTGAATATTCCTTGGTCTCTATTTTCTGAAAGAGTTTGTGCAAGGTTAGTATTTCTTCTTTTAAAATGTGATATATCTTACCAGAGAAGCCATCTGGGCCTGGGTTTTTCTTTGGGGGAAGTTTTTTGTTTACTAACTCAATTTCTTTACTTATTATATGTCTATTCAGATTTTCTATTCTTCCTTGATCAATTTCAGTAGTTTATGTCTTTCTATGAATTTATCAATTTATTTTTTTTTATTGCATCTGGGTTTTGAGTAATATTTAGAACATTGCACTTTTTTCCTATAAGCATACCAGCCGATTATCAGATACTTCCTTTGCTCCCTCCTCTCCCTAGCCCCACCAACTACTCTCTCCAGTGAACCTTTTATCTGTCCCTCTAGGCTTTGGGACATCCCAGACTTTCTCTGCCCCTCTTTTAACAGGAGAAAGAAATCTATTTGGTAGGACCTTCTTCACTCCCCACAAACCTTCTTTTACCTAAAGAAGTGAGAACCTGATGGGAAATCCAAGTTAGTGCTAACCAGTAACAATGCAGACTCTTTTCATCTTTCATTTCCTATTAAATTCTTTGCTCAGAAAAGGAAACAGACTCATGATGGGATGAAACTGGATTCAGTTAATTCAGATACACTGAATTACAACTGCAATATACTTCATACTGCTTTTCTGCATAGTTCTATCAATTACTGACATTGAATATTGAAATAGCCAACTTTCATTATTGAATTATCCATTTTTCCTTTCAGTTTTGTTTATTTTGCTTCATATATTTTGGGACTCCCTTATTAGGTACATGTTTATTTATAATTGTTATCTCTTCCTAATGTATTGACCCTTTTATCATGATGAAATATCCCTCTTTGGCTCTCAGGATATTTCTTGTCTGATATTAATACAGCCACTGCAGCTCTCTGATGATTACTATTTGTAAGGTACATCTTTTTCCATCCTTTTTAAATCTATTTGTCTTTTTATTCAGGTGAAATTTATACATTAATAATCATTTTAAAGTATACAATGCAGTAGCAGTTAGTACTTTCACAAAATTGTACAACCACCAAAATTAAAAAAAAAATGTCCATTACCACTGAAGAAAACTCTATGCCCATTAAACAGTCACTCCCCAAGTTTACCTTTCTCAACCTCTGGCAACCACCCCAATTTGCTTTTTGTTTCTATGGATTTACCTTACTCTGTGGATATTTGGGGATTTATATAATATGTGACCTCTTATGTCTGTTTTTTCCCCCTTGGCATGTTTTCATGGTTCATCCACGTTGTAGCATGTATCATTACTTCATCCCTTTTTATTTCTGAATACATCCCATGATATGTATATATCACATTTTGTTCATTCATCCTTTATGGACATTTGGGTTGTTTGCTCCATTTGGCAACTGTGAACAGTGCTACTAGGAACATTCATCTACAAGTATTATATTTAAGTACCTACTGTTCCTTTGGGTATATACCTAGAATTGGAATTCCAGGGTTATATGGTAATTCTATTGCCTCATAAAATGAATAAGAAAGTGTTGCTGCTTCTGTTTTTGGAAGAGTTTGAGAAGGATTTGTGTTAATTCTTTAAATGATTTGCAGACTTCACCACTGAAGCCTTCTGGTCCTGGGGTTTTCTCATTTGGAAGGTTTTCATTATTGATTCAATCTGTTTACTTGCCATAGGTCTATCAATATTTTCTATTTCTTGTTGAATCAGTTTTGGTTGTCTGTTTCTAGGAATTTGTCCATTTTGTCTAGGTTATCTAATTTTTTGATCAACAACTTTTCATAGTATCTTTTAGTCTACTTCTGTAAGATTGGTAGTAATAGCCTCATTTTCATTCCTGATTTTAGTAGTTTGTGCCTCTTTTCTGTTAGTCAGTCTAGATAAAGGTTTATCAATTTTGTTGATCTTTTAAAAAATTCCATGTTAGGTTTTGTTGATTTTCTTTATTGTTTTTGTATTTTTTTTTTTTTTTTTATCTCTCTCCACTCTAATCTTTATTACTTCAGTTCCTCCTGTTGCCTTTGGGTTTAATTTGCTTTTTTTCTAGTTTCTTTAAGATGAAGGTTAGGTTATTGATTTGTGGTCTTCTTAAAAAAACACATGTTATCTATCCATTAATACATTTTTAATTGTACAATACAATATTGTTAACTATAAGCACAATGTTGTGCAGAAGAACTCTAGAACTTTTTCATCTTACATGACCAAAATTCCATGCCCACGGAACATCAACTTCCCATTTCTACTTTTCCCTCCCCTCCCCTCCTTTCCCTTTACCCTGCTGCACCCTACTGTGGACTTTACAGCTTCCAGAACTGTGAGAACATAAATATCTGTTATTTAACTCATACATTTCAGGGCATTTTGTTACAGTAGCCTGAGCAGATTCAGACAGTTTTTGGTACTGAGAAGTGGGGTCCTGCTGCAACAAATACCTAAATATCCAAGCTTTTGAACTGGGTAATGGGCAGTATGAGCAGGGAAGAAATCCTTGGAGCATGAGCATGGGGAGAAACCCATCTCTCCTTTGTCTCATAAGATCACAGTTCCTATCAGATTAGAACCATATCCTTATGTCCTCATTGCCCTATCTCCACATACAATCATATTACAAGTTAAGGCATGAATTCAAGGGGGCAGAGGAATCAATTTAAGCAATCTCAACCACAGACTCTCCATATAACTTTAACGTACATATTAGTCTTTAATACTCTTCACCATTAAGTTGAACCAGAATTCCTTCACTGCAAGTTGCAAATTTAATGGTTCCAGAAGGCAAAAAGACAGAGTAAGACTAACATTATAAATTTGGTAAAAACAGGCTTCCATGTAGGCTAGGTAAAATTCAGAAGGGATAAAGGGACAAGTAAAAATGGAAAGGAATGGAGTTTTATAATTTTGAGCACCAAACAGTAGTGAAACCAGGAATAATAAAACCACCAACCACCAACAATATTAAGGTTTACTGTAGTAACCATGAAATGCCACAAGTTTATAACAAAATTGAACAGAAAATGTTAATATAACTGAAATATAGCTCTAATTACAAATAAGGGAAACATTATGTATAAGGATATACTTTATTCACTAATTTGTCATTTATTCATTAATGACTTTAAAAATTAAATGTCAAGATATAAGATTACTATGTTTCTGTCATTTATTTTATGTCTGTATATAATGCTTAGACATTTAATAGTTTTAATTTGTTTAAGCTGGAAAGAAAAAAGTGTAGAACACGTAGTTCTGGAGTACTACACCCAAGAAGAAGAACATTAATTAGCACTGATGGTAACTCAGAATAACAAGATAGATAGACTGTAATCAGCAGTGGTGGTCATATAATAGCTTAGTAAATACAGTGTACTCAGAAATAGAGCTCAGTACTAAAGTTTAAAGATACGAAATAGCAACTATCCTAACAAAAAGGTTAACAACAGAGACTTATGCTCCTACAGGGTTGGACATGAAGTAGCTACCAATTACATATCTTTAAAAAGTACTTAAAGAAAATAAGCAATATTTATAGAAAACATAGCTCAATATGAGAAAATGCCTTAATACCAGTGATCATGCAAAACTTTAAAGAGTACATAAATTCTGGGAAAAACACCAATTTCAAAAATTAAAATCTAATGAATGATGATGATATAAATTTATCTAACCATAAATTTTCTAATACAAATATAATAACCAGTGGCTCATGATCTCATTGATTACATAACCAGGTCAGCTGTCCTAAGAAAGAGATGATTGTGTAGTTAGGTGAGACTATGATAAAAGGTCTACTAATTGTTGATTTAACCGCCCAAACATAGTAAGGTAAATCTGAGAAGGGAAAAAAAAATTATAATTATAACAGATTCAAAAAATTGAGGCCATGGTAATACACAGTTGTAAATCCTCTTAATGTCGATCGCTCACTGCTAAATTTGACTGGCTAAAAAAAAAAAATGAAAAAGATATATTAAATAAGTCAATCCTCTTAATGTAAGTTCAGTGATCAGTTTATAGTAATAGTTGCAGCCTTCTCTCTTTTTAAATGTCCTTAACAAATTTAAGAGACTGACTCATTAGGTTAGTAATCTTTACCAAATATTTAAAAGAAGAAAAAAAAAGTGTACCTTTAATTTGGATCCTGGCTGGTACTGCCTGGAAGTCAAAAGGCTCCTTAAAGAAATTGGTATTATACATAGTAAATATTTAGGGTAATCTGTTGTGTCAAAACAAAATAGAAATTTAAAGAGAAGTAAATCATTTGATGAAAATGGAAATCATTAAAAGAAAAATAGCAGAAAACAAAACAAGGAAACTATACAAATACAGTGTAGGGTATAAGACTAAAAACCGCACTGCAACTAGGAATTCTAATTCTCTGAATGAAGATAAGTACCTCACATATAAGAAGGAAAGAAGTAGAATGACAAAAAAAAGAAAAAGAAAGAAAAAAGTCAAAAGACCACAAACATCTAAAGTTATAAACAAAATATGCCTGGATAATAAACATATGAAAGTAACTCATAATTAGGGAAACAAGTTCCAAACATTTCAAAAAAGACTAATGGGGTCCATCCCATGTCCATAGATAATAAGAATATTAATTGATTTAAAAAGGAGAAGTATTTGGCAATATCTAACAAAATTGTAAGTATATACCACCTAAGGCTGAACAATTCAGCTTCTAAATACTGAATGGCCACGTAATCCAAAAACATATTTTAAAAGAGGGATATATTGAATCTCCTTGGTTACCTGTTAAATCCATTGGTTTTCCCAATGAAAACCTGAAACAAAAACCTTTACACATTTATTTCATTTAAATAACTTTTTTCTCACCAATATAAATCTTTTGATGTCAAGTAAGGTGCCCATCCACACTTAAGGCATTCCCACAATCCTTACATTCATAGGGTTTCTCACCATTATGAATTTTCTGATGCTTTGTAAAGGATGAACTATGTCTAAAGGCCTTCCCACATGCCTTGCATTCATAAGGTTTTTCTCCAGTATGAATTCTCTGATGTTCAGTAAGGGCTGAACTGTGTCTAAAGGCCTTCCCACACACCTTACATTCATAAGGTTTCTCACCACTGTGAATTCTCTGATGTTGAATAAGGGCTGAACTAAGTCTAAAAAACTTTCCACATTCCTTACATTCATAAGGTTTCTGACCACTGTGAATTCTCTGATGTCGAGTAAGTTCACTACCTACTCCAAATGCTTTCTCACATTCTTTACATTTATACGGTTTCTCACCAGTGTGAATTCTCTGATGTCTAGTCAGGGATGAACTATTTCTAAAGACCTTTCCACATGCCTTGCATTCATAGGGTTTCTTACCAGTGTGAATTCTCTGATGTCGAGCAAGTTCTCTACAGACTCCAAAAGCCTTCCCACATTCCTTACATGCATAAGGTTTCTCCCCTGTATGAATTCTCTGATGTTCAGTGAGCTGTGAACTAATTCTAAAACCCTTCTCACAGTGTACACATTTGTACGGTTTCTCACCAGTATGTATTCTCTGATGTTCCGTAAGCTGTGAATGAAATCTAAAGTCCTTGCCACATTCTATACATTTGTAAGATTTCTCATCAGTATGGATTTTCTGATGTCGAGTCAGTTGTGAATGCACTCGAAAGGATTTCCCACAGTATGTGCATTCATAGGCCTTCTCACCATCATTTCTTTGAAGTGGAGTAACTTTTCCAATTATTCCAAAGGTTCCATATTCCTTACATTTATAGAACTTCTCATCATGAATTTTCTGGTGTATACTAAGGTCTTTATAAAAAGTAAATGTATTCCCATATTCCATATATTTACACGGTTTCACACCAGTATGAATACTGAGTTGTAGTGTATGTGAGTTATCTATCCCGAAGGTTTTCCAACATTCATTACATTCACAGGTTTTCTCACCAGCATGTATTTGCTGATATTCATTGAAGTTGGAGTCACAAATGAAGACTTTCTCATATTCCTTATATTCATAGGGCTTCTCACTGTCAGGAGTTCTCTGAGGTAATTTAAGAGATTCATGATTATTTAAATTGGGTACTTTTTTGGAAGTGATTTTCATTTCACTTAAATATCCCACTTGAGGTCCTTGTACTTCAATTTTGTTTTTGCTCTGCCTGTTATTTCTGCAAATGGAGCTTTCAAAGCCAAAAAATTTGCTACTTTCCATTAACTCCCACGGAGAACCATTGTTTTCAATAATGTCTTTTCCTCCAGATAAACTCTTTGTCTCACACCTGGATTCCAAATCTGAAAGAAGGGAAAGAAATTTCTTTTTCCTATGTCACAAAAATAAAACAGTCATAGAAAGCAAAGAAGACAAACTGAAAATAATTCCCAATGAGTAAACTGTTTAAAACACCATTATGAAATCTGGAGAAAGATAAAGAGCTCAGAAAATGATAATAGTATAATGTAAGATTGTGAGTTTTGTGATAAGGGAAATAGATTAAGATAGTGGATCTGAAATTTAGGTGTTGATCATCACCTGGTAATCCTGTTGATAAGCATTAATGTTCAGGACATGCCAATTCTTTGTCTTGAGAGACAGTGTAGTGTAACATTAAAGAATATTGTCTTTCATGCCAGACTGCCTGGATAGAAAACCTGCCTCTGACACTAAATTGCTGTGTAGCCTTGGAAAAGTACCTAAATACTCTTTGTTGTAAGCAATCTCTTCTGTAAAATAATAATACAAAGAGTACTTATGTCATGGGGTTATTGTAAGAATAAAATGAGTCAATTATTTAAAGTGCTTAGGACAGGGCTAAATACAAAGCAAGAATTACAGAAGTTGAGAGGAGACTCTGTAGCTTTCTGAGACATAAAAGGTCCTTGCTGGAATACTAATTTAATGTTAAATGCAAAGTTCTATAACCATGAAACAGGTATAATATTTGTGGGAGGAAATGAATATGAATTGTTTATCAATCCAGCAACATATAAACTATAGAGATTCTTTTGATAATTATAACAAATCAGGACATAGTATCTTAGCTATTGTCCTAAAAGGTGGATAAGAAAGTAAAATAAAGCATTATTGCAATTCTGAGCTCAAATATAATGTATAGGTTGGGCATCACTAATCTGAAAATTCAAAATCTGAAATGCTCCAAAATCCAAAACTATTTGAGTGCCAACATGATGCTAACAAGTAGAAAATTCCACATGTAAGTACTTAACAGAAACTCTGTTTTATGCACAAAATTATTTAAAATATTATATTAAATTACATTTAGGCTCTATGTATATGGTATATATGGAACATAAATGAATTCTGTGTTTAGACTTGGGTCTCATTCCTAAGATATCTCATTATGTATATGCAGAATATCTATTCTGGAAAAATCTGAAATCTAAAACACTCTAGTACCAGGCATTTCAGATAAGGGATACTAAACCTATAATATGTCAGTGATACCTGTATGTATCTCACAAGTCAAATCCAGCTCCCTGGTATCAAAGAAAGTAGAAATTATATGAAAGACCTGAGAAGCTAAGAACATAATAAAGGATGTTGAATATGTTTAATGGAGGTGTCTTCTGTAACACAATACTAAAAGCATGCCTTTGGAAACAGAAGAAAATCATCTAGTTTCTTAAAAGATAGACTTGAGGCCGGGCGTGGTGGCTCACGCCTGTAATCCTAGCACGTTGGGAGGCCAAGGCGGGCGGATTGCTCAAGGTCAGGAGTTCAAAACCAGCCTGAGCGAGACCCTATCTCTACCAAAAATAGAAATAAATTAATTGACCAACTAAAAATATATATACAAAAAATTAGCCGGGCATGGTGGCACATGCCTGTAGTCCCAGCTACTCGGGAGGCTGAGGCAGTAGGATCGCTGAGCCCCGGAGATTGAGGTTGCTGTGAGCCAGGCTGACGCCACAGCACTCACTCTAGCCTGGGCAACAAAGTGAGACTCTGTCTCAAAAAAAAAAAAAAAAGATAGACTTGAGTTCATTAAATATCAGCTGATATTCTAGAGACCATATTTTAAGTTATTTAAGACAGATAAATTTACCCAGTGAGACTAAATTGTTGTAGTTCTCCATCATCACATCCCAGTACAAGTCCCTCTGAGCAGAATCCAGATATTCCCACTCCTCCTGAGAGAAGTTGATGACCACATCCCTGAATGTCACCGATTCCTGAAACAACAAACCCATATTATAGGTAAAATTTAAGGAAATATTTTTTACAAAAAGACAAGAAATAAGGAATTGCATTATAGGAAGGGGGCTAGATAACAAGTAGGTAGAAGGGGTAGAAGCCTATGACATGGGAAGTAAGGAAACTAGTGCTTCCCAACCAGACTCTGTACATTTCTAAAGAATCTATGTGGTTCAGAGAAATCTTCCTGCATACTATGGGATTTCTTAATTAACCAAACATATCTGGAAAGTTTAAAAATTAAAAGAAATTTAAAAATTTCTTATAGCCCCAAGTTCATCACTATGTTACCCATCATTATTTCATATATAATGAGAATTATTACTTCTAATGACAAATTATTTTGTAAATGTTTAGTGGCTATGTAATCGTCTTCTTGTGTGAGACTTAATTTGAGACTTAATTATATGTGAGACTTAATTATACTTAGACATTCAGGTTAGAATGGTCTTTTCCAATTCTGGGAGCCTACAATCATCATCATTTTATATGAACTTGAGGCCAGTCAACATCAAATCCAATGTACCTGGAGAATCAGGTCTGTGGAGAAGTTCAGAGTTTGTCTGTGTGTCATCAAACAGATCTATCTGCTCTTTTTCCCTACCCTAGAATATGACAAAGAAAAATCCATTTCTATTCTATCTATGCTCTTGATAAAAGACTATGCCAGGTGCAGTGGCTCACGCCTGTAATCCTAGCACTCTGGGAGGCCGAGGCGGGCTGATTGCTGGAAGTCAGGAGTTCGAAACCAGCCTGAGCAAGAGCGAGACCCCGTCTCTACTATAAATACAAAGAAATTGATTGGCCAACTAATATATATAGAAAAAATTAGCCGGGCACGGTGGCACATGCCTGTAGTCCCAGCCCCACTCAGGAGGTTGAGGCAGTAGGATTGCTTGAGCCCAGGAGTTTGAGGTTGCTGTGAGCTAGGCTGCAGCCACGGCACTCACTCTAGCCTAGGCAACGAAGCGAGACTCTGTCTCAAAAAAAAGACTAAATACATAGGAGTGTGGAACATTACTTGGAGAATAGACAGGCACATGGGAGGGACACCATACTGTTTGACTCCAGCCCTCACTATAAAGTGAAAAAGTATGGGGATGTGGTGTACATTCTTTAATACGGCTGTTTGGTAGAAGAAATCAAAGAAAGGAAATATTCATGAAGAATAAAGAAATAGCAACTTACATGGTCCATGGTTAAAACTGCAAAGAATTGGTCAGGGAATTCCACTTCTGATATGACAGCATGAGGAGCTCCATGGACAGGCTCCCTAATAAAACTGGTAAAAAATTATTAAAAACAGAAACAAAAAAACAACCATTTAAAATCTTTGGAAATGGCCCTAGTAACATGAACCAGTTGTGCAAAAACCATTTAGAAAAACTTGTTAAGAACTCTGAAAGTCTACACTGTATGAACCAAACCTATGTCCTCCCTTCTCTATTCCATCTCTCTGAGACAAAGTCTCTACTCCAGACTGGTGGAGCCAAGTACACAGGGCTTCCTTACCACTTCTCAACCTTTGTTCCCAGTTAGATGGCTGTCTTCCCAGATAGAGTAGGACATTATCATTTTTCACTCTGTTCCAGCTACTTGTGGCACAGCTAAAGAATGAGGTTTCCTTCTGCCTAGCCCACACACATGAAATATAGTCTTTAACTTGGGTGTGGCACTGCTGAGCATAGTGGGGTTCCAAATGCGTTGCCTTGGCTCTTGGAGCAGAAGTTTCACACAAGATAGGCAAGCCAAGGAGATCTAGGGCAGCTGTATCCCCCGATCTACCAAGCACTCAGCTCCTAAAGCAGGGGAATCACTCAGATATGCAGGCGATTGTCCTTGCCTCCAGCATGATGATGTTTGCCAATGTCTGTGAATATACCAAAAAGCACTAAATGATATACTTCTAAAGAATGAATTATATGGTATGTGAATTATACCTCAATAAAGTTATTTAAAAAATATAGAGCAGCAGGAAAAAAAAAAACAGGCCAGTTTTTCTGGGGTTCCTTTCCCAGAGAAGCAGATTCTATAATAGCCAGAGCTGGAGGAGAAAAAAGAGGCTCTTAGACCAAATGTGCCTCAAGAGTTCCCAAAATAACTTGAATTATTCATAATACAATTTTTTCTTCTATTATCTTCCTGATTTCAAACATCTCCACCTGAACTCACACAAAATGCATGCAATAAGAGAGATTCCAGATACGTCTCAGGGAATAGAGTTGTTCCGCAATCGACACAGAGCAGAGGCCCTTCTGCATAGGGAATACCACTTTAGCAGAAAGGTTTCTAATCAATCTACCACTTAATTGTTGTGGATTTGGACCTGACACTGTGCCTGCCATTCAGATGTGCCCCGAGGATATCCTCCTTCCCCATCTATACCTTCAGAAGGGATGACACCATCCATATTCAACCTCTTGCCGTCTGCCACCAGATAGACAGTAGAAAATAGAAAGAATCCAGGGTAACATGTTGCAAGAAACCATGCAACCTACAATTAGACCTCCAGTGGACAATCACTCCACCAGTGTCACCACTGTGTTAAGCACTTTAAGCACTAGGCTGAGTACTGAGGACAAAATGACCAGATGAAGACAACACAGATCACCCTTAAGTGTGGCGGGGCTATGGTTAACAAAGGCACCTGAGTCTTCATGGACATATATATGCTAACAGAACAGAAATGAGTTTACACAAAAATATGTATTCTCACAGAATTGGTAAAAATGACACTTTACCCAAAATACAACCAAACTCCTACAGGCTCATTGGGAAAAAATAAAAACACTCCACCTCATTTACAATTATTTATGATCTGTCATACGATCACTCAGTCACACTGTCACATAACGATGTCACCAAACACTTGGATCACACGATAGGCCCTGAACCTACTCACAGCCCTACCAGCCACATCAGACACCAGTCAGGGCACACACCAGGGTCTTGTCACACACACACACTCTACCCGTCACATAAAACGGCACTCGGAGTCACCGTCGTCCGCAGCTCACGCATACACAGGCCCGAGGTTCCCAGCCCCACGTGGTCCTTCCGCACCCTGATAGCTTGAGGCCTCCTCAGTGCACCCTGATAGCTTGAGGCCTCCTCAGCACGGGATCCTCCACAACCTGGCTTGGGGTCATTCAACTCAACCAGGCAGAGCTCAACAACCACGACGATACCGGAAGGGGAAGCAAAGGTTGAAGTTCGTTCGCCGCCCAGGGGCCTGTGGGAAACGCAGTCCAACGCCGAAAACGTGCGGCCATTCAAACAGAGCCCACTGGCCACAGAGACCGCGTCACGCCCCAGAGGCTCCTGGGAGTTCGGGCGCGCAGCCCGCTCACCCGTGGAGGGCGGCGGCGGCAGGTGCGCCAGGCGCGGAGGATGCTCTCCTGGGGACGAAGGGAAATGAAGGAAGAAGGAAGGAAGCTCCAGACTGAGAACTAACGGGGAATTCGGGCGTGGGAGGGCAGAAGAGGGAAGCGGAAGCCTAGGTCGCCCCCACCTCCACCCCCAGGAAAGAACCGGAATCCATGGCCGCGCAGGGAAAAAAGGGAATCGCGGACCCGGCTGTGTAGCCTGGAGAGCCCGGGCTGAGAACGCATGGAGTGGGTACTGGCGCTCTGGCCAGGGAGGGTCCCGCAAGGTTTTGCCTGACTCTGGCTTGTAAGTGTGGGGCCCCAGAGGTGGTCCATGGTTGTCAACCTGAGGGTGACCGGGGTTTTTTTAGTCAGTTTTGCATCATGAGAAAACTCTAGAACACAGAGCAGCATCTGGAAGCTCAGTAGGTGTGTGCTCATCCTGGTCACCGCCACGAAGTTCTCTGGTGTCCTTTTTTCCAGTCAGTTTCAAAACAGAAACCTTAGTTCCGATTTCTGTCACTGTAATTTAGTTTGTCAGTTCTAAAATTCCATGTCTCTTTTAGCTTATCCCAACGTCTCTGAGATTTATCAGTTGTATAGTTCATTTTTTAAATTTCTAAACAGCATTCCATTGTGCAAATATGCCACAATTTTAATCTTTTTTTTGTTGATCATTTGGTGTATTCCCAAGTTTTATATATTATGAATTAAGCTGGCATGTTTTCATTTCTCCTGGGAAAATACCTAGAAGAAATGTTGCTGGATAATTAGTAAGTTTATGTTTAACTTTCCAAGAAACTTTTCAGAACGATTAGTTGTGAGAGATGTGTTTGAGATTGTACATGACTGGAGTTAGTTGTTTCTGAATTTGGTATCTGTGGAATTATTGGATAGCCTCAGCGGTGTTATGAGTGCAACGTGGGGTCCACGGGATTAAGGCTTTGTAAAGTGGGTTAGAGAATAGGAAACTGAATGTCTTTGTACCAGCTGTTACTTATCAGGGTTTTGTAATGTCTGAAGATGGATACTATGTAAGAGCTGCTAGTGAATGACTAAGAAACTGTTTAGTATATGCAATTTTGATTGCAGAATTATGACTTTATGATAAGCAAGTAATATAGCATAAGATTTGGAAAGAGGTAAAATTATTGTAATTGTTAAATGACAGGGTAACATACTTAGAAACATCATACAAACTAAATCCGATATATTAAAGGGATTGGGTCTCTGAAAAATAGTTTCATCCCTACCACTTTCAACAGTTAGATTTGAGTGAGGTAATTTTTCCCCACTGTTCCTTGATGAAATCATGGATGATATTTAATAACTTCTTAAATCATTCTAGGCCAAGTATAAGTACTTGAAATAACTTCTAATCACAAAGTCAGCCTCATAGCAATTAGAATAGTCATTTTCTAATTAAAATATTTACTGTAAAAATCAGTATTTCAAAACTTCATCTGTCTGCCTACAGTGTAACTAATTTCTTCTCTTTTCCCCCAATCTATATTGTTAAATAATTAATATTGGGCATAATGATTATTAACAGTAAATGTGTACTAGTTAACTAGGCAGATTTAACAAAGCCATAGAAGCTCTAAGGTAAGTGAGGTTTTACATGGCTTCTTTTGCCTCCCTTCTTGTACCCATTTTTAAAAAAGAATCCAAAAGAGCGAAGGTCCTTTCCTGCAAATCTTCAAAGCCATGGCTCAGGTGAGTTATGTTTCTTCTCTCCTTTCTAAAATAGTCTTTTTCCTGCAGGACACATAAACATTTGCCCATCTTGAAATTTCCATAAGATAGGATTCCCCATTTCTTTTTATTCCAGCCAGATAAACCTGTACCTTCTCCAAGCTACCCTTCCAATTTTAACTATTGTTCACTTATTAATTGGATAGTTCACTCAGTGCTCCTTTTTCACTCCCACAAAAAGAAATGCATTCCCTTAAATGAAATAAGCGTATATGTTTTTAATGAACCTTTCTCATCTAGACAGAGATTTGATGTCAAAGTAGTGAGTGCTTAGAAGAGTCCAAACAAGGGAAAGCCTTCATCGTGTCCACAGACCTCAGTTTTCTAGTAAGTTTTCTAGTGATTCTGCTTTCTAACTAAACATGTCTGTAATCAGTGCTTGACTTGTCAAAACCATCATCCAAGAAAGACCATTAAAGTGGCCCCCAAAACAACTCCTTAACCATCAGGACCAAATACTTGCAGATAGACTTCATTTAGTTAACTACCTCTCTGGGTTATCAATATATGCTTATAATAGCATGTATATATTCTGGATGGATAGAAGCCTTTCCCTGCTGAAAAGCCGAAGCAATTATTATAGCCAAAAAGTTATCAGGAAATGTGTTTCCTCCTTGGTAAATCCAAAGGGAAATTTCAAGTGATAGAGGGACTCACTTGACACGTCATAAAACAACTAAACAAATATTCAGATATTATGGCATTATCACTGTCCTTATGATCCTCAATCTTCAGGAAAGGTTAGACACATCAATAGCATTAAAAATTAAATTTGGCAAAATAAACCACAGGATTACCTGGGCCTAAGCTGTTGCCTGTAGCTCTTATGACAATGAGATCAATGACCTTTAGAAAACATAAACTGACTCCTTATGAAATTGTCACTGGGCAACCCATGCCCTTAATAATAGAACCCCCATGCTCAACTAGATATTAGAAATTCTGATATGAACCAATATTGTAAGGTTATAATGAAGTATTCAAAAGCTTATTTCCAACCAGTCGAGTCTTCAGAGACTTTTAAACTCATAAGAACTCTGTACCCCACTCATTGAAACCAGATGATTAGGTATTCTGGAAAAGACATCAGTGAAAGACTACACATGAACCACATTGGAAGAAGTGCATTCACATATTTTTTCCAAATTTTTTATTGTGTCCAAATACACAAAACATACAACTTACCATCTTAACTATTTTTAAGTATACAGTTTCAGTGGTATCAAATACATTCATAATGCCATGTAACCAGCACCATCATCCATCTCCCTAAGTCTTTTCATCTTGTAAACTGAAACTTGGTTCTCTTAGACAATAACTCTTTATTTTCCTCTCCACCCAGCCCCTGACAACCACCATTCTACTGTCTGTCTGCATGATTTTGACTACTGTAACACATATAAGTGTTACATACAGTATGTATGTATATATGTATTTGTCTTTGTGTGACTGGCTTATTTCACTTGACATAATATCTTTAAGATTCATTCATTTTGTAGCATATTTCAGGATTTCCTTCCTTTTTAAAAAAGGAATAATATTCCATTGCGTGTACATACCACATCTTATCCATTCATCCATCACTGGGGTTGCTTCCACATTTTAGCTATTATGAAGCTAAAGATGCTATGCTGCTATAAAGATGGGTATACAGACATCTCTTAAAGACTTCAATTCTTTTGGGTATATACCCAGAAGTGGAATTGCTGGATCATGATAATTTTATATTTATTTTATTGAGGAACTATAATACTGTTTTCCACAGTAGCTGTACCATTTTATATTCCCACCAACAGTGCACAAGTGTTCCAATTTCTCCACATCCTTGGCAATGCTTATTATTCTGTGTTTTTGATAGTAGCCATCCTAATGGATGTGAGGTGGAATCTTATTATAGTTTTGATTTGCAGTTCCCTAACCGTTAGTGTTGTTGAACATTTTTTCATGTGCTTATTGGCAATCTGTATATTTTCTTTGGAGAATATCTTCTTTGTTTATCGGGGCCTTTGTCCATATTTGAATTGGGTTATTTTTTCTTGTTGAGTTTTAGGATTTCTGTGTATATTCTGGATATTAATCCCTTATCAGAAAAATGTTTTTAAAATATTTTCTCACATTCTCTGGGTTGTCTTTTTACTGTGTTCATATTGTCTTTTCATGCACAAAATTTTTAAGAAATCCACTGATCTATTTATTCTTTGTTACCTGAGCTTTTGGCATCATATCCAAGAAATCATTGCTCTGTGCTTTCTTCTAAGACGATGACCACGTGGGGTATTCCCCCCTTAGTTCTGTTAATGTGGTGTATTACACCAGTTGATTTTCATATGTTGAGCCATTCTTACATTCCAGGAATAAATCCCACTTGATAATGGTGTATAATCCTTTTAATGTGCTGCTGAATTTGGTTTGTTAGCATTTTATTGAGAATTTTGGCATCATTGTTCATAGGGATATTAATCTGTACTTATGTTGTTGTCTTTGGTATTAGAATAATGCTCCCCTCTTGAATGAGTTAGGAAGTGTTCCCTCTTCAATTTTTGAAAAAGTTTGAGAAGAATTGATATTAATTCTACTTTAAATGTTAGTCCAATTCTTCAGCAAAGCCATTAACTCTGGAATTTTTTTTCTTGGTCTGGAGATTTTTAATTATTAATTCAATCTTATTACTAATTATAAGTCTATTCATATTGTCTATTTCTTTGTAATTTCATCTTGATAGGTTTTGTGTTTCTAAGAATGTGTCCAGTTCATCAATATTATCTAATTTGTTTGCTATGTAATTGTTCGCAGTACTCTTCTTACATTCCTTTTTGTTTCTATGAATGAGTAGTAGCATCACCACTTTCATTTCTGATTTCAGTAATTTGAGTCTTTTTAACCTTAGACCATCAAGTTAAAGGTTTGTCAATTTTGTTAATCTTTTCATAAAACCAATATTTGTTTCATTGACTTTCTCTATTGTTTTTGTATTCTCTCATTTATCTCTGCTCTAATCTTATTTTCTTCCTTCTACTAGGTTTCAGTTCTTCTCTTTCTAGTTCCATAGGTTATAAAATTAGGTTGCTGCTTTGAAATATTTAATGTCTTCTATGTAAGCATTTACATGTATAAATTTTCTCCTTAGCACCACTCTTACTGGAACCCATAAGTTTTGGTATGTTGTGTTTTCATTTTCATTCATCTTTAAGTATTTTCTAATTTCCCTGATGATTTTGGACCTAGTCCAAAGCCAACCAGGGCCAAACCCAAATTGTCACACATCCAATTGCTTTAAATATAGTCTAAATTGGGCATTTAGAGCCTTCCTATTTAGCACACCCGATGAAACTATACCCAACACCTGTTAACAATAAGACAAGCCCTGTAACTACCAAAAAAGAAAACCCCAACTGCAGATGATCCAGAGTTCCCTTGCTTTGCTGCTGAGTAACACCTCCTAGACATGTAAGCCCCTTTTCTGATTTACCGTTCTCTCCTGGTAGGTACCTTGTTGCCCTCTTATGCAACCCTGTCCAGGTGCCACCCAATAAAGCTTGTTTGTATGTGTGAAATAAAACTGTGAATATACCAAGCTCTCCAGTCAAGATGGACTCCCTGTGGCTAACAGAGGTACTTTAAATTTGAAGCAGAACCAAGAAGCCATAGCACGGTGAAAGAGCAGTCACACACTCTCTGTTCTTGGAAGAAAATACAGCCCTTGACAAACATCCTGCTTGTACATCCCCAAGTGGGAGTAGATCCTGTAACCAAGGACTTTTTAAAATTCTCCAACTGACCACCTGAAAATCTTCAATCAAATTCCCATTGTATGCTTGTATCAAAACATCATGTGTACCCTCTAAAGATATACAACTATTATGTACCCATAATTAAAATTTTTCTAAAAAAGCAAACAAAAGGCTATTGGTTTCGGAATTGAAGGTCACCCAATCAGGACTCTGCTGCCTCAACCAAACAGGGCTTAGCTATATCAACCAATAGGAGCTAAACAAGTTAGACCCCTTCATTTGCATAAGGGAGCCTGACTAGGAACTTGGGCAGAACTCTCTTTATAAAAGCCAAACCCGGCCGGGCACAGTGGCTGGTTCCTGTAGTCCTAGCACTCTGGGAGGCCGAAGCGGGCGGATTGCTCAAGGTCAAGAGTTCAAAACCAGCCTGAGCAAGAGCAAGACCCCATCGCTACTTAAAATAGAAAGAAATTAATTGGCCAACTAATATATATAGAAAAAATTAGCCAGGCATGGTGGTACATGCTTGTAGTCCCAGCTACTCGGGAGGCTGAGGCAGCAGGACTGCTTGAGCCCAGGAGTTTGAGGTTGCTGTGAGCTAGGCTTGACACCATGGCACTCACTCTAGCCTGGGCAACAAAGCAAGACTCTGTCTCAAAAAAAATAAAAATAAATAAAAGCCAAACCCTCCCTTTGTTCTCTGAAGCATATTTTTGCTTGTCACCAAAGGCTGTGACTCCCCAATATGTAGATTGTTTTTTGGAACAAGAGCCTCTCCTTTTCACTCTGCAGATCTCATGGTCTTTTGCTAACATATGTTACTGTCTCTTGTGGTCCCATCTTTTCCTGCTCCACCCCTAAATCTTCAAACTTACTACACCAGTAGTGCCTGATTAACGAATGTTTCTGCTTAGCAATGGTATTATACGTTCTTTGCTTCCAGGAGTACCACGTGTCCTCTAGGATTGTACTTCTGTATATACTCTATGATGGCACTGTCTGAGCCCTGGAGGCACCCAGGTAAGCTTTAACATACTGACAGAGTTGTGCTGAGCCTAAGTTGATGCCTCAGGACAGATAACAAAAGGATAATACAGAAAATTAAGGAAAAAGCCACTTGGCTTTCTAAGATAAAACTTTGTGGTTCAAAGTGGTGTTTGTTTTAACAGGCTAAATTGAGGACCCCTGGAGGATACAACTAAGGCCAGTAGTGCAGGTTGGTTACACTCTGCTGCAGGAGTTCTATTGATAATAATTTTGCTGTAAAGATGCTTTGGCCAAGGGCCAGAGAAAAAGCCTGAGCAGAAAAGGGTTAACACAGCAGGTCTGATACTGCTATCATTAGAAAGGCCTGATTGCAAAATTGGTCCTTAGTTAGCATCTGGAAACTTTCATTTCACAAGTATTCTTATTATACCGTAACTGGTAAGGAAGGATCACAGTGCCCACATGCTTTCCTTCTGGGAGACTAGAATTTTTGTATTTGCTAGCCAGAGGGGTACCTATGTGACTAGCTCTCAATTAAAATCTTGGGCAGTGATTTTTCTCCCTGAAGAGAAACATCACACATATTGTTGCTGCATTTTTGCTGCTGAGGGAATAGTACACTCTGCGTGACCCCTCATGGGAGGGAGAGGGCATAAGGAAACCTGCATATGGATTCCTTTAGACTCTACCTATGTTGTATCTTTTTCCTTTAAAATCCAGCTATACATCCTTGGGTATGGTATATACTGTGGTAATAAATCTTAGCTATGAGTACAACTACATGCTGAGTCCTATAAGCCCTTCTAGTGAATCTCTTAATGTGAGTGTGGACTTGGGGACTTCCAGAACATCACCCTTATGAATTCCTTCATGTTTTCTAAGCTGTGAACAAAATCTAATGCCTTCCCACATTCTGTACATTTGTAGAGTTTCTAACAAAATGAATTATTAGATGTTCTGTATACAATCTAAAGGCCTTTTCACACTCCTCACATTCATAGGGCTTCATACCAGTATGGATTTTCAGGTATCCAGTAAGTAAGTGGTCCATACTTTACAAGGTTTCCACATGTGTTACAACCAGTATTTTTTCTGGTATACTCTAAAATCTCTGTGAAAACCTAAGGCATTCCCTACACTTTGAACCCTCACAAGGTTTCACAACCGTAGGAATTCTCAGATATGCAGCTCATTATTCTTACATACCAAAGCCTTTCCATATTCCTTAGATTTATAGGTTTTCTCAATAGAAAAAATTCATCATGAACACTGTCTGAACCAAACTCAAAAACATTACCATATTTCTTTACTCAGAGCATTTCTTATAAATTTTCTAACACAGAAAAGAGATTTATGCTTTTTATACTTGGTTACATTTTCAGAAATTAATTCCCATTTACCTAAAATATCCCTCTTGAGACCCTTGTCTCAGTATTGCTTTTGTTTTGCCACTCATTTCTGAAAATGGAATCCTCAGGGTCAAAGACTTTACTTCTTTCCATTACCTCACATTGGGAGCCATTTTTTCCCCAAAAAATGTCTTTGTCTCACATCTGGACTCCAAATCTGAAAGAACAGAAGAAAGGAAACAAATGATTTTATTTCCCCTGTATCAGAAAAATAAAATTGCTATTAAAGACATTGAAGAAACAAATTGAAAATAAGACTAGCAATCAATAGCTAAAATAATACTATGAAATTTGAAGGAAAGCAAGAAAAGAGAGTGAGGACACTATATATAAGATGTGGAGGTTATGAAAGAGCAAACAGTTAAACCTATGGTTCCGAAATTTAGGTGTTGATCAGAATCAACTGGGAAAGTTGTTGCAAGTACTGATAGCAACCAATGCAGATGAACTGAATCAGCATCTATAGGGTAAGTCCTAGACATCTGTCTTTTTAATGTTTCTACTAGTTAATACTGACACATACCAATATATTTGATAGTCTCTTCCCAAAGCAGTGGGTGGGAAAAAAAAAGAAAAAAAATATTTGATAGTCCCTACTTATACTTTTTAATGGTTTCTCTTTTTCCTGACAATAAAATCCAAGCAATTTTTCATGAATAACAAGGTCTTGCTTCTAAGACTTAATCCATTATATCCTCTTCCCTTTAGTTCCCAGATCAGATGATACAGTATTTTGTCTTCTGGAGTTACCCATCTCTTTTATTAATATCTCTCACAGATGGAACTCCATATATGGTTGGCTCCTTTTTATCCTTCAGTTCTAAAGGTCACTTACTCAAAACACATATATGCTGACCCTATCAAAGAAGTTCATGCCTATGTCTTTCTATTCCAGCACTTATTTCCTTGCCTTCATTACATGTTGATTTCTCTTTATTTAATAATTATTTACATCATTACATGTTGATTTCTCTTTATTTAATAATTATTTACATTAATGCATTTATTTCTTTATCCCTAAAGTTCCACAAGGGGAGACACAATCATTCTTATACACAGCACTATATAACAAACTCCTAATGCAGTTGTTAATTGCAGAACAAGTTAATCAATGAATAAAAGAAAATAAATTTCAATGAAAATAAAGATAAATATTAGATAAGCTATTGAAAGAGGCAGATGAATATCAAAATATTTAATGAAAAGAGTTAAGAAATAGTTACTGTATGTCTTTGACTCATCTGTCTCTCAGTTTACTAAAGTAATGAAATATACTCTTTCTTATATTATTTCCATTTCAGATGAGAATAAAAGCATATCCAAATTAGCATAGCAAAGGCCAAGCATTCTTATATTTCTTAGAAAAGCATCTCAAATATTTTCCAGATATTGTAAAAGGTATAAAATACTGTAAAGCTTATGAAATTCTGATCAAAGAGGCTTGGAGCTACAATGGAGAATATGCCAATTCAATAACATGGAAAAAGGCCTCATGGGACCAGAGTGCCTTGGGTTCTACAAATAATGATACATTGATTATTGGCTAGATGATGGCAATAAAGATTAGCAAATAACCTACAAAAAATCTGAAGTGATAAACCATGCATGAGGCGGGATCAAGTATAATTTTCCTAAGACTAAAACATGGTATGTATAACAAAGTGAAATAATGTTATTTGTCTATAATAAACAGGGATTTGTGAACAAAAAAACCCTCTACTTGGAAATAAACAAGCAATCTGCCAAATAAGCTTTGAGTCAATTGTGGAAATATCAACGTGGAAAAAAAAAACTGTAGAAAGCCAGGATTCTAAAAACATCGTATCATTGCTGAATTCTGATCTATGGCAGGGAAGAACAAGATAAGCCTTGGACATTTTGTGCCAGAAAGAAGTAAGCTTTCAAATTCTAATTGATCATGTCAATATGACACAGACACCACCAGATGTGGCTATGAGAGGCCAGGACTGTAACATAAAAATCACAATAAAAAATGTTTATAAACATTTTAAATAAAAATTAATATCTAATCATAATAAAAAATGAGATAGCCAGGAAAATACATTTGTCAACAATTCAAGTGCCTGTCTGGAAGGTAAGCCTGACACATCTTGTGTCAGAAAGCAAGAATCATTTCAAAAATTAATGTATTAAGTTGTACACTGAAATCAGACAATTTAGCTAGCTATGTTTTAATGATAGGAGCATTTGGGGGGAAAAGTGCAGAAGTACTGGTTCTAGGTAGGATGGGGTAAGTACACTATAAATGTTTCCTGAAAGCCAACAAAAGTCTAGGCACAGTTACCTGGGTCTTCTGCTTCAGGGTCTTTCACAAGTCTACACTAAATGTGTAAACCAGGGCTGAAGTCTTATTTAAAGGCTTAACTGAGGAAAGAATCCACTTCTGAGCACATATGCTTGTTGGTAGCATTCAGTTCTTTGCAGGCTGTTGAAATAAGGGCCTCTGTTTTTTGCTTGCTATTGGCCAGAGGCTACCCTAAATTCTTTGCCACATGGAACTCCTCAATATGCTTGCTTGCTTTATCAGAGCCAGCATAAAGGAGAAAATTTCTTGGCAAGAATGCTATTATAATATACAATATAATGCAATCATGGAAGTGACACCCTTTCACCTTTCCTATATTTACTTAACCAATGGTTAGAAGGAAGAGATGTCACAGATCCTGCCCACATACAAGGGGAAAGGATACACAAGGACACAAGTTCCAAGAAACAAGAAAGAGATAATTGGGGGGCATCTTAGACTCTGTCTATCACATGGCTAATTAAACAACAGAGATTGTCGAAGTGGATTTTAAAAACATGATCCAATTACATGTTGTCTATAAAAAAACCCTTTTCAAATATAGTTATAATAAAAGGATAGAAAAATAATACCTTGAAAAAACTAATCAAAGAAAGTTGAAGTGGCCTTCATATGATTAAAGTAGGTCACAGAGTAAAGAAAATAACCAGGGATCTAACAGAACATTACAAAATGATAAATTCATCAAGAAAACTTAACAATCCTAACTGTGTATGCATATAACAATGAAGCTTCAAGGAGAAACAGACAAATCCACTGTTATACTTTCAATCCTCTTTCAGTAATCAACAGATAGACAAAAAATCATCAAGGATATAGTAGAACAAAACAATACCATCAGCCAACTAAATTAGCATTTGTAAAACACCCCACATACAATAACAGAGCATACATTATCTTCAAGTGCACATGGAACAAATTACAAAGGGAGGCTGTATCTTGAGACATAACACCAGCCTTTAACATATTTAAAAGAACTGAAATCATACAAAGAATGTTCTCTGACCATATGTGTTAGATTAGATCTCAAACACAAAGTAACCAAGTAACTTTCTACCTACTTAGTACTCAAACAACACACTTCTAAATAATCATTGTGTCAAGGCTGTTATATAAGGTTTAGAGGCAAATTTACAGCATTAAATGATTATATGAAAATGAGAAAGATCTCAACAATCTAAATTTTCATCTCAAGAAACTGGAAAAAGAACAAAATAAACTTAAAGCAAGCAGAAGTATAATAAAAATAAGAGCAAAAATCAATGAAATAGGAAACTGAGAACCAGAGAACATCAGTAAAATAAAAAGTGGGTTCTTTGAAAAGATCAATAAAACTGATAAACGTCTAGAAAGACTGAGAAAGGAAAAAACAGGGAAGACACAAATTATCAATATCACAAACTGAAGAGACTTAGCATTACACACCCCACAGACATTAAAAAGATAACAAGAACATACTATGAACTCTATGCACATGAATTTGACAACTTAAATGAAATGGTCTAATTCCTAAAACCCACAAACTACAAAAAATCACCCAAAATGAAACAGATAACCAGGATAGTTCTATAACTATTAAAGAAATCAACTCATGGTTTAAAACCTTTCAAAAAAGAAATCTTCAGGTCCATATGGTTTCATTGATGAATTCTACCCAACAGTTAAAAATAAGAATTAACACCAATTATATAGATAATCTCTTCCAGAAAAACAGAAAAGTCAGGAAGACTTTTCAAATCATAGTGTGATTATCAGCATTACCCTAATATCAAAAGCAGAGAGAGACAGTAAAAGAAAAGACAACTATAGACATAAAATCCTCAATAAAATACTAGCAAACTGAATCCAGAAATTCAATAAAAAGAGTAATGCCTCATGAGCAAGTTTATCCTAGGAATGTAAGGATGTTTAAATATTCAAAAAAATGAATCAGCCAGTTGCGGTGGCTCACGCCTGTAATCCTAGCACTCTGGGAGGTCTAGGTGGGAGGATTGCTCCAGATCAGGAGTTCGAATCCAGCCTGAGCAAGAGCAAGACCCGTCTCTACTATAAATAGAAAGAAATCAATTGGCCAACTAATATATATAGAAAAAATTAGCAGGGCATGGTGACACATGCCTGTAGTCCTAGCTACTTGGGAGGCTGAGGCAGCAGGATTGCTTGAGTTTGAGGTTGCTATGAGCTAGGCTGATGCCATGGCACTCACTCTAGCCTGGGCAACAAAGTGAGACTCTGTCTCAAAAAAAAATAAATAATAAAAATAAAACACTTCTCTAAAGAGTTGGGAGGGAAAGCTATCATAATACAAAAACTGAGCAAATAAGCTGGCAAAATGAGAGTGAAGAATCTAAAACCAGATTGAGACAAGCCTACTAAATCTTTTACATTCTTTTAACATATTTCATCAATATAATGAAACGTTTTCAATATTAAGATCTTCCTTCAGGCCGGGCGCTGTGGCTCACGCCTGTAATCCTAGCTCTTGGGAGGCCGAGGCGGGCGGATTGCTCAAGGTCAGGAGTTCGAAACCAGCCTGAGCAAGAGCGAGACCCCGTCTCTACTATAAATAGAAAGAAATTAATTGGCCAACTGATATATATATAAAAAAAAAATTAGCCGGGCATGGTGGCGCATGCCTGTAGTCCCAGCTACCCGGGAGGCTGAGGCAGAAGGATCACTCGAGCCCAGGAGTTTGAGGTTGCTGTGAGCTAGGCTGACGCCATGGCACTCACTCTAGCCTGGGCAACAAAGCGAGACTCTGTCTCAAAAAAAAAAAAAAAAAAAAAAAAGATCTTCCTTCAAATATACATAATTGAGGTAAGTGGCACTTT